TACACAAGAAGAAGAAGAAGAGAGAGAGAGAGAGAGGAGCAGTGACCAAAACAGAGGCAGTTGGCCTCTCTCTCTTTATTTTGTTGTTGCTTGTGTCGGGCCACCGCTGCACGCGTTCACGTGAAGCTGAAAGCCAAGAGAGATAGAGAACTACAGAGTAAAGGAATATAAATAAAAGGGGAAAAAGAAAAAGGAGCAGTACTGGCTGGAGACACCTTTTGACCACAAAAATCACACCTTCACTCACTTCACATGTTGGGCCCACAGGGAGGTGTAATAATGGGTGCAAAAGTATAGGTTTTTGTTGTGCATATATATAGGCAGATGGAGCTCAAAAGTACTGCATACATGTGAAGTTTCTTGGGAATTAGATCTGACAATGGTGCTAATTTTAGTTAGGTTTTGGCCTCAATGATAGAGAGAATGAGCCTCTTATTAAACAAGCACTACACAGAATGCTCGCAAAGAAGAAGATGCAAAAAGGGGTTGAAAAGTGATGATGATGATGATGATGATGATGATGATGTCCTTTGTTGCTCCTATTGTCCTTTTTTAAGTGGTCCTCATACTACTTGATTAGCTGTTTTGCATTCATGTGTCAACTTATGAGAGGTTGAGTGATGGATTTGGAAGTTATGAGAGGAATCTCTCCTCTTATTTAAACATGAGATGTTGGGAGGAGAAGCCATTGTTTCTCAAACCAAACACAAATTTCTTGATACAGATAAGAGATCTTAGAATGAATCAAATATCATAAAAACATAAATGTCACAAAAAAAACACAAATTCACTACTTCAGAACATGATAACAGCATGCAAAGAGACCATATTAGAGTAAAGGTAGTGATTCCAAATTCATAGACATAACAAGTACAAAAATGAATGATTTCAGTGAAAAAAAGAAGTTTCCATGACAGAGTAGAAAACATTCCAGGAGCATAACTGCTCTTGATTACAAATGGAATGCAACAACAAACTTCTAGAGAAGGGATTTAAAATGTCATACATGAAGCAACTTGATGCCTTGATGCTAACTGGATGCCTCTTCTTTCTTTTCCTTTCTTTCTTTCACAACCTTTTTCCAGTTCTCTGTGCTGTCGATTATTTCGCCAGTTTTGATGAGGTAGCGGACTCTGGTTCCGTCCTCGAGGATTTTGTGACCCACTCTGCTCGCCACTTCTTTTTCTTTAGAGTAAAGCATCACATTTGAGCTGTGGATAGGTGCTTCAATCTGTTCAGAAACAGTTCGTTGTGCAGGATAACTCAGGCTCAACACATGAGAAAGCAATGGAAGGAGTAAAGTTCAAGAGAGGAAAGCCTGATCCTGCCATTTGCTCATTCATAAACATGAATGGAAGTTCAGAAAATAGAGAGCATACCTTGACAATCTGCCCAGGTTCACCTTGTTCTCTGCTCTTCATGTGCTTTGTTTTCAGGTTCAAGCCTTTTACAATCACAGTGCTGTTATGCCTGAAAATGCGAGTAATTTCCCCAATTTTACCGTTCTCATGGCCTGTGATAAGTTTGACTGTGTCCCCTACCTTAACATGCATTTTATGCAGTATGGGAAGACTATTTGGTTTACATTCCTTGCGCTCCCAGCGTTTAAGCTGCAATAGAAGATGAAAAATATAAAGAAAGCGATAAGATCATCCACAGAATAATTCACCTAGTTCGGTGCTCATTGGTAATCTAATTTCCGATAGCTCATAAAGGAAATAGTTTAGCACGATCATCTTCAATATAGAACATGCAGAAGAACTGATGAACTAACCCTCATTACTATAGTGCATGGCTGGTCCACCGATTTAACCTGCAACAAGAAAATGCAACACACTTATGTTAATTACAAAAGATCAATAATGGGGAAACCATGCACTACAGAGATGTGAAAAAATCAAAATTAGCATCACATACAGGGCCCAGATATTCTAAAAGTATTTGAGGACTTGGACATCTCAGATATTACTTAATTCAGCTTAGTCATAAAATTTATCCGGCACAGCAGCTCAACAATCAGAACATCATGCAAAGTAACATTTCATAGTTGCTGATATAATTCACAGTGGTCCTATTGTATGTTTGTTATCTACCGACTTCAGAAAATACATATCAATATACCTTCTTATGCCTGAACCATCCATTTCTCTGAAGACAATTTGTTTCGAGTAGTACTTACTGATCACAACAGTATTGTCTCTAAAAAATATTATGAGCCAAATTTGTATTTGTGGACATTCATAGTTGATGTTTGATGATAAATTTTAAGGTTTTTCTTCTTTCATTTTACATTTATTAAGATACATAGCTTAGCTTAAGAGTATTTTGTGAAATAATAAATAGGTAACCAAACATCATTATCAATTTTAAGGAATATGCTTGAAAATGGTAACATACAAAGAATAGGGTCAATTGATTATAAAAATCATCATCAAATTCTTCATAGCACATGCTATATGATTTGGTGATGTTTTACCTTTCTTGATATTCCAAATAGGATAATGTTTAATCATAACATGGAAAAATTGCATAAGTCCCAAGCCTTACATATCCCCTCTGCATATGTGTTAGTTTCCGGCCTAGATCAAAGAATTCGGTTTAAGCCAAGTTGAACAAACTGCAAGTGGCTATAAGGATGAGCCAATCGTCTCAACATGGTTTACTTGCATATGACTTAAGGCTTAGTGCAGGTAAGCAATTAGTTTTAAGCTGGATGATTCAAATGACACAAGTTTCACAGAAAGGTGCTACGTATAGGCATCCATGCCTCTCTTACTCGTAGAGGCTATTAGACATCATATGAGAAGCAAGGATATATAAAATATAAAGAAAATTGCAATTTGCAATCACTTGTCAAATTCTTGATGCCAAAATATACATTGTGCAACTAAATCAGAGTTTCTAATTCCACACGCTTGTTCTTCTTGATCCCCTTATGCAACATTTTTGAGAAAACACAGTTTTTTGTTCCTCTCAAAATCCAAATAGTATAATTTCAACACAAACTAGCAAAAAAGATCGTTTTCTATATACGCTATAGAGTTCATTAGTAAGACCATCAAAATGCAAACACAAAAGAGCATTCAAATGGCTACTAAATAGCATCAACCACTAATCGCTTAAAATCCTTGTTCTGGAAAAGGAACCGGTTGCTTTAGTTCTCTGAGAAACCTCAATTCCTAGAATTAGAAAACGGAAACGTCAGAGGAATTCTAACTCTTTGTCTTTTCCTACCCCTAAAATCGAAGTCCATTGGTTCCAATTTACCCTGTTGAGAGAATTCAGAAACGAAATCAAAGAATAAACAAAAGAAAGTTCTTTCTACGGTCGACAATCAAATTTATGAAGTAAAATGCCATCTAAAAGTCATCTTCTCCGCATTTTCCTCTCAGGAAGTCGGATTAAGGCACAATAACACATCAAATGAGTTCAAAAACCAAACATTTCAGAAAGTAAGGGCAGAGGGGCAGAGAGCTAACGGGCGTCGTTAGGAGTGGGGGAGAGAGGCGCTGGCCCAAGAAGGAATTGGAGGAGATGGAAAGGGAAGCCATCGAGCTCTGTAGCGCCACCATCGTCGCCATCTTCGAGCGCTCTCTTCTGCGCTTAGGAGTTTCGGATAAAGCGCAGAAGGGGTGAGTGGATGTCCCTCTTTACCCCCTTTTTTTTATTGATTATATATATATATATATATATATATATATATATATATATATATATGCACACACACACCCTCAACATTAAGTAATTCTCATTATTGTGCCAATATATATACGAATTTAGCATATATAACCTTATAAATCTAAAATTTTCCAATAAACTATTTTGATTATATCTTTCATTTAACAGTTAGTTAAAACCCTGAATAATATTAATATCCTTTAAACTTAACTAGTTAATATTAGGTATAATTAGCTATGGTTAATCTAGAGTTTTTCGATGAATATTAATAGTAGAAATATGTGTTATATATATATATATATATATATATATATATATATATATATATATATATATATATATATATATATATATCTTTGTCACATGTTACAGTTAGTTTAGTCCTAAATCGAAAGGGTGCAGACAATAACAATTGGTTTGGCTGTTTGATGAAGCAACGCAAACTTAGATTGCTACGTGAAGGATTGGAAATCCGAAAGGAGAAGAAAGAAACACGCACAAGCATCTCCAAGTTTATCACGTGTCTTAGAAGACTTTGATGCTTTTAATTTATGAAAGAGTTCCAATAAATGAATCAAAAAGATATTCCAGAACTCATCGCATTATCCAATACCCAACCTGTTATATAAATATGATTCAAATGATAAGTATTAAATAATATAATGGTCATAATGAGATATTTTTAACATGAATGTGAAAATAAATTTTTTGAATAGGGATTTAGATTTATATGGATTAACCTAAATGATTCGTAAAAAAAATAAAAAAAATATAAAATTTGGTATGAAGATTTAAGAAATTTATTTATGATTTTGAATAAACTTCTAAATAATAATATATAAAGTTTCTTAACATTATTGTTTTCTTTATATTTAAGGAAAAATATTGTTGATCAATATTTATATATGAATATCATTGAAAACTAGTTTATTATATTGATCTTATTTATAGATAATAATTTACTTACTATGGTCTTAGTTTATTATAGTAAATCAAGAAAATTTTCTCCAAAAATTCTAAGATAGTTAATATAAATAAAATAATTTATGTTATTGACATTGAGATATTCAGAAATAATCTTAAAGATTGTTAAGACTATCTTAGAAATGATATATTGACTGAGTCTTATAGAGATTAAATATATAGCTTCTTCAGCAAATAACAAAAGTAAAAAATTTTAGACAAAACAAAATTTTTAAAATAATTTTAAAAATTTAAATAAAAAAATATTTATTATATATGCGCAATTAGAAGTCTATTATATACTCAAGTCAGATTAGATATCAATTTTATAGTCGGAATACTAAGTATATATTAGAGTTATCCAGAAATTAAACACTAAAAGACTATAAAAAAATAATAAGATTTTTGAAATAAAAAAAGATAAAAGGTTATATGTTCACATATATGAAATTTAATCAACTTAAAACAATACTTTTTTAGACACTAATTCTATAATTAAAAGAAAAATAATAATATATTATTTTATTATCAACTATAGAAATACATTTTATGACATGCTTTGAAGTTACTAATCTAGCTTTATAACCATAAAATTTTATATCAATATTTGATATGATCTCAGACTTAATTATCAACGCTGAAGATACTTTGTGACATACCGTAATATTTTTCTTCTCTAAGAATGATAAATACTCTATTAGTTCTGTACATTATGGTATAAAATATTTGATGATTAGAGAAAATCTAAAAATAATTAATGTCAATTAAGAACTTAAATTCCATTATATTGATTGTTGATCTATTCACTTAAAACCTAATTTTTTTAAAAATATATGTTCTTATGATTGAATTTATGAACAACCCATAAAAGATATAATATTATATATTCAATTAATATTATAATTAATATTTTTATTTTTATATATTTAAAGTTATTTGTTTATATTATTTTATTCCTATTCTATATACTATAGTTGAATATGATAACATAAGATAAAATTTAAAAATTATTTTAAACTACATTAAAAAGGACTAATAATATTATGATATATAAAAGAAAACATGACATTGATAACGATCGCTATGACTTAAATTAATAGTTAGACTTAATATGATATAATATTTATTTAAACTTATTGATAGTTTTATAAAATTTATGTGCACATGTAAAAAAAAATTAAAAAAATTAAAATTTAATTAAATAAAATAATTTTAAAATAATTTTTTATTAATTTTAATTTTATTTCATTTATATCTTGTAAATTAATGAGCAACTGTAAAAATATTAGTTTATGTGATCTTACCAAATTAGATAAAATATATTATAAATATGACTGAATTTGATTATCGATAAGTAAAAAAATCTAATAATAGTAAAATTTATTTGATGGGAGAGACACTTGTAAGGAATATAATTAGACTTCTTTTTATTGACTGATAACTATAATTAAAATTTAATTATATTTATAATGTATGTTAATTAAACGAAATGTCCTTCTCTTCATATCCGATCCCAGCAAATCACATTGGTCCATTCGATCTCCTTGAAGCTTCGGCAACAACGCATGAATTCTGAAGCACTCCACCGAAATTGCACCCAGCACTCCTCTGCTTTTAACAAACACAAGCCTCTCTGGCATTGGGAGTTACCGATGGCAGCGTCGGCAACACTCTGTTTCATCTTCTGCTTCATTGCAACCAGTGATGCTATTAGTAGGGCTGACTTCCCCAGTGGTTTCGTCTTCGGAACAGCTTCTTCATCTTTCCAGGTGCGAGGCCATGCACAAATGTTTCGTCTTTTCTTTCACGTTCATCCTTACGTCTTGCTCTGAAGAGTTCGACACCTCAGTTCGAAGGAGCTGTAAAAGAAGGAAATAGGGGGCAAAGCATATGGGATACTTTCACAAAACGATCAGGTACAGTTTGTGTATCAATATGTATAATATGCACAGAGGGGCAAAAAAAGCAATCATATAGTTTGGATTCTCTGTGTTAACCTTAAAGACTGTTATTGGCAGGGAAGATTTTAGACTTCAGCAATGCAGATGTAGCGGTGGATCAATACCATCGGTACAAGGTGAACTCTGGAATAATATTCTGTTCATATTGAGTAGTCATCTGCGGATGTTTAGTGTGTTTAGATTTCCCTGATGAAACTTGAATCCAATGAGATTATCCTGATGAAATCTGACTCCAGCTTAATTTTACATTGGATCTGAAACTTCGAGTTTTTGCATGAAATAAAGTTGACAGTCCGAAAGCAACTCCTAGAACTGAAAGATCTTCAAATTATGGATAAGAGACTACAAATAAAATAAAGGCCCCAAGGAAGCATCGGAAAATTTAAGAAAAGCTTTGTTTATTCTGATAGATTACTCAAAGCACCAGCAAGTGCTTATGACAGTAGGTGCAAGATGCAAGATACTTGCAAAAGCTGCCTTACAATGAAAAGGGAGAAATCATAATTGTTCTATAAAATATTTTTTCTATCACCGGAGCAGCAATGTGCTAACTTACAAGATACTTTTTCTCCATGGCCTACTTCACCTAAAGAGGTGAAGGTACTCTGACATGTTGAGAGAACATATTATTTAGTCAATGATAATGATGTGGGAGAACTCTAGCTAAATGACAACCTATACTACTGTCACCTATTGTTAGTTGAGGTTCGAATCTTATCCTCTTTTCAAGACAAAGTTCAGCACATATTTTCTCTCTTCTACTTCATAAAAAATGTAGAAAGTTCAGTTTAAACAACAAGACCACTGATGAAAAACATGAGAAAGAAAAGGTACAAGAGCAAAGAACTGAATACTTGCTTAAACAAGGAACTTGCATGATCAAATTTTGTCCATCATATTTGTGAGGAAAGACGATCTATAATTTTCATTTACTAACTCAATCTACAGATATTTTCACTTAAAAGAACATCCTAGTCTCGAAAGACTCAGAATATTTCTTACAACCTGAAGGGTGGGTCTTCACTTGTACACTTGATATCTTATGAGCAAACTCTGTAGGTTGAAGATAACAGTAGCATTCCATTTTAAACTGAATTTTCCTTCTTTTTATTTTTTGGTTGTGCTTACAATTGTCTTGGAAACTTCACCTATATATGTTAGAAAATTTTATGATTTTGAATCAGAAACTTCTTGATATCCAACAGCTGTTCTGCTTAACCTTATTTTCTCAACAATGAGGTTCCCTTTTTCTTCCCCCTTGAGATCATACAACTTACAGCCTTTAACACAGCAAGCGAAAGATCTGCTTCGGTAAACTAATACATTTTGCAGGATCTTGTGAGACAAATTCAGAATCACTCAACTGATATGAATTTTCCATATAACTGCAGTTTGCCTAGACATTGAATTAACTGTGAACCACCATGCTTAATCATATAGTGCTTTCCCATCACATAATCTTGCACTTGCAGCTTATCTGAGCTTCTTCCATGAACTCGGCTCATTCACAAATACAGGCTTCTTGAAGTTGTAACTTTTACACTGGAGAGCCATCTGCTCTAATGGTCTTCTCAACAAAAAAGACATGTTTAATTTCTTCATGCAGAAGAATGATGACGGACTTCATGAAATATATTTAACATATTATTTTATAGTACCAAAAGATACTGCTCTCTTTATGCAGACAGATGTGGATTTGATGAAGGACATAGGAATGGATGCCTACAGGTTCTCTATCTCATGGCCACGGATATTCCCAAGTAATACAGAGCTGGCTAATTGGCATTAGAAATATTTATACCTCTTTCCTGAATAAAATAACAAGCTTCCTGTTCACAGATGGAACCGGGGAACCTAATCAAGAAGGAATAAGCTACTATAACAGACTCATAGACGCTCTGCAAGAGAACGGTGACCTTTTAAAAGCCTTTCCTTGTGGGTCCTAATGAAAGTTTCAAGGGCTGAGCATTCCCTTTTTCTTCTTTTTCCCCCTTATTTTTCTGTTTCAGGAATACAACCTTATGTTACACTCTTTCACTGGGATCTTCCACAGGCTCTAGAGGACCGATACAATGGATGGTTGAGCCAAGAGATCATGTAAGGATTAAATTGAATGTTTATTCAGTCAGCAAAATCCAGAAAAGAAAGCTAAAAGTCACTCTACAATGCAGACAAGATTTCGAGCATTATGCTTATACTTGTTTCAAAGCATTCGGGGATCGAGTGAAGCATTGGATCACCTTCAACGAGCCTCATGGATTCTCAATTCAAGGATATGACACAGGTCTGCAAGCTCCAGGAAGGTGTTCTATTCTATCTCACATTCTTTGTCGGAGAGGCAAATCATCAACTGAACCATATATCGTGGCTCACAACATCCTCTTATCTCATGCTGCTGCATTTCATACTTACAAGCTCCACTTTAAGGTAAACCATTGGTTTAAATTGCTGCAACCTCTCCACTGCCATAAAATGTATCAGAAATGGCATGATAAGAAGCTAAGTTTAATCTGTAGGAAAAGCAAAAGGGCGCTATTGGAATAGCTCTTGATTCCAAATGGTATGAACCTATATCTGGCACTGAAGAAGATACAGATGCTGCCTATAGAGCAATGAAATTCGAACTGGGATGGTAATCTGCTACCGATTTCATGCTATATATAAAATAACCTAGTACCTGGACTGATGATTGATTGTTGAATATGGATCTGAAGCAGGTTCTTGGATCCCCTTATGTATGGAGATTATCCTCAAACCATGAAGAAACTAGTAGGTGACAGACTACCCAGATTTACCAGTGACGACTCTGAGTCGTTGGCTGGTTCACTAGATTTTGTAGGAATTAACCACTACACCTCATTATATGCTCGGAATGATCGGACAAGAATCAGGAAGCTGATACTGAATGATGCTTCATCTGATGCAGCCGTTATCGCAACATGTATGACAAAATCATAAACAAAACTTTATTCCTGATAGACCATACTAATTTCTACCATGTTCTCAACAGCTACTCGGCATGGAGAGAGGATTGGCGAAAGAGTAAGTCACGACATTCATGCTTCTAATGACTATTCAACCGATGCTCAGGTTTAGGTACTATCACTTCATGCTTCTTTCAGGCTGCTTCGGGATGGCTTCACATTGTGCCATGGGGTATTCGCAAGTTAATGAACTATATCAAGGAGAACTACGAGAACCCGCTAGTTATCATTACAGAAAATGGTAAAACCAATCTGATCGAATCCAGAATTAGCTCTCTATTTTGACAGATATTACAAAAAGTCATTCGGTATTGTAGGTATGGATGATCCAAATTTCACTAACCTAGACATAGCACTGAAGGATGAAAAGAGGATACGCTATCATGCTGACTACCTGTCAAACCTGCAAGCTGCGATACGGTAATTTTCTTTCATGCTAGTTCACTTGATGTTGTGGTCATTAATCTTGTACTGATCTCAAATAAATCAATTGGCATGACCATATTCAGTTCCACTGCTTCCTTTTTTTATGAACCAATGCAGGGAAGACGGTTGCAATGTGCATGGCTACTTCGTGTGGTCATTACTAGATAATTGGGAATGGAACTCAGGCTACACAGTTCGATTCGGCCTCTATTATGTTGATTACAAGAAGAACCTAACGAGGATGCCAAAAGATTCAGTCCAGTGGTTCAAGCATTTCCTAGAACAAGAGTACGACACTTGACCAAAACAAAAACACGGTCAAAAAGAAAAACTTATTGCAGGATGATTTGTAGAGTCGATTCACTGTCCCTCGTAGTTATTTATCTTAGTTCGGTTCGATAGTCATTCAAGAGGTTAGTAGTTCCAAATGTCAATCATAATCCATTTGTGAAGTAACAATTCCTTCCCTTCGTAAACTGTATCTTCTGTACCAATTAAGGAATATACAATCGACGATGTGTCTAAGAGCTGAACTTAAATCAGCAGCGAAATAATAAGAGAAACACCGACAAACATGATTAAGACGTAAAAGTTCAAAGTTCGCTGTCAAACAAAAGAGTAAAACTTCATGGATTTGGAAAGCACGAGAAAAGAATCTTGATGGATTTACCTAAGAATTCGTGTGCACGAGCGATCTAACCTCGTCTGTTCTTGATCCACCAATCGAACGATTCCATGTCCAATCGAGATCGCTGCGACGAGATGGCTTTTGCCGCAGCTCCATCGAAGGCGAAAACCGTTTCTGACGCGGCCAACAGCCACATCTCGACATGGAAACCCCATTGCGATGGCCCATCCTCCACTTCTCACCACGCTCGCCCCTATCTGAAAAGGGCGGAATCCCACGCTGGAAAGCAACGAGTGGGACGATTAGAGGGACAGGCTATCATCCATACGCGTTACATTTATAATTGCTCGAAAATTAATCATGTGCGATGATTGAGATCGTGATAAACTCAAAATTAACCCCAAATATCAAAAAGTAAATGATATATATATATATATATATATGAATTTGAATCATTTGTATGATAAACTTGGCCAATTTGATAACATTTATATATAGTTGCCACAAATATAATAAAACACATTGAAAACCATTGTATGATAGACTGGAGTGGTCGATACACAGAACAATGATAGATTTGATAATTTTCTCACTTACATATTATCAACACATAAGAATTTCATTTGATCAAATTTAGTAAATAATAGCTAGTAAAAACTTTGTAAGACAACTGCAGCATTTAGATCAAATCCTGCCTCCACCAATCCACCAATCCTCCTTTCTTTGTTTATCCTTGGTAACAAAAAAAAAACACACACACACACAAAATTAAGTTACGATAGGCTCACCTAGCTTTATAAGTCTGATATGAATATTACAATAACACATCAGCTTGCTACCAAATGACCAGAGATATGCCAAAATAGGACCTAGTTTGATCATCAGCTTCACGTCTCGGTTCATACAAAGTAGCTTACAACTCTTGATCAGATCACTAGAGCTATATGGACATAAACCTGACGAAGTAGAGACGTAAATAAATCAACCACACAGCTCAATGCACACCTTTAGATTACCCTAGCAAGAAATGGCGTGCTCCATGCATAAAAGTATATAGTTGACCAATCGTCACTGTTTTATCCGACACCAATTGATGCCTACAAAAGATGACATTAGAGGTATGAACATGAGATTTCTACGAATGAGACATAATAGAAGGTCATGCAGAGATCATGCCTCATGCGGAAGCAGACCCAGCCTGAGGGGTTTCTCCAGCCGGTCTTCTGCGTTCTGGTGGAGGGCCATCCCTCCGCCTCACATATTTTCTGCTTTCGTTCTTTGATCCACGTTGCTTCGGTTGATAAGTAGGATATGTACATGGGATTATCTCCCCATTTATGTATTTATCACCTGAAAAGGGAAGGAAGGCAATAATGTAATCATGAATCTAAGCACATGGTATTATCTCGCCAGTTATGTATCTATCACCTGAAGACAGGAAGAAAGACAACAATTTGAACATCAAAATAATATGAACATTTAAGTGCTTTCAACTAACCTCCATAATCTTTGTTCTTCACATCAATGTATGAATCGGGCAGTACCCAGAGGACTCCTGGTAAACCTGAATGCAACAAAAAATTGTGCAAACAATTTAAGAATAAACAACCAAGGATTTGATATTATCGCAAATGTAAGAGTACCTTTAAATTTTTCTGATGTTTCTTCAGATACAGTGCACTGGAATCCAGTATATGTGGTTGTGCTGAAAGCATACATGTTCTTCTTGGCTTCTTCCATGCTGCAAGAGATACATGAGAGAGTGAAGAATTGAAATAAACAATAATAAATTTACCAAGCTTGTACATATATAATTTCAGGCAATACCATTTATGTCAACAATTTGCTTTATATTAATGCTACTTACAACAACATGGATTCTAACATTAAAAAGAACACCATCAAGAGAACATTTGTGATTCAGAAATAAAAATTCAAGGTATTCACATAAAAAACTATTCAGTACAACCTCAAGTCCCATTTTGTTTGTAATTTTTGTTCCTAAGAGCACCATGAATATCACACACTTATGGTGCATCTAAAAGCCTCTCAAATAATCTATCTTAATCATCCATGTTTTGATAAGCAGGGATCGTTCATCACATCAAACTATAAAAGCCTATGTTCTCGTTTCAATGTAAACAACTTGTTCTGATTGAATAATATATATTTTCTAATTAAATGACAAATACTCTTTGAGTCAGTTTGCAAAGTACATCCTAGTGCAAACATAACTTTTGTCACTATCATTTGTGCCAAACAGGCAGAAACTAAGATCAGCTTTCATCAATAGATCAACTGTGAGGGTTTGATGTTCCAATGTAGAGGCTTTGAATTTTTTTTATAATGTCTCATTATAAAACCAAATGCATCAAAAAATGATGGACTGAATGAGATATGCTAATCATTAACTATTCAATGTATGTGAAAGCAGCATAGTATTAATGATGAGTAGGCATAGCAACGCAGATGTTGCATCCATTGTCGAAAGAGGAACAGAATGTTGATATATGTTGTCGTTGTTTTATTTTTTTGCCTGTTCCACATGGCATTTGGAACAGACTTAAAAGTTCAAATGGGATACTTTACTTCCCTAGTAAAATTTCATCATCCATCTTCTACTAACACAGTCAATTCGATTGACATGTTGACCGAGTGGGAATTTCTGAAGGTATCATACAGCATTTATCAGGTCCAAATTAGAAAGCAGTCCATAGGCATCACAAGTTTTCATGCAATGAATCTAGAACAATTTCATGCACATAATTTTTCACAGAAGTGCAGCATGGAGTAGAATGTTATGGATAGTGATAAAGAAATGGGATGATATGATACTAATTACAAACGACATCCAAAAAAGAATCTCACAAAATGATAAGAACGCATATCAGTTATTCATCTTTCAATTGCTTTAAAAGAATCATACCTCAATTATTTGATGTGTAAACTCCAAAACATCCGATGTGGCAGGATCAAACAGGTCATTAATCATAGTTATATGTCGCTCAAAGTAACAGGATAACCAACTTTTGTTGCACCACATACCAGTTTAGAAAAGGATGCACCTTTGAAGGGATTGAGTCTCTGAGCAACTTATTACACGACTAAATTATCAGATTTGGAATTGTGTAACTATCTCAATGTTTGCACAAGTTCATGCAATTAGCCCAACTATCTGAATATTTTCTTAACATTTCATGACCAAACATATCCTTCGAGTAGCAAAATCTTTAGCTTTCTCTACAATCTAACACGGTCTAATTCAGAGAAATCAACTATTTCAACGTCTATATCTGCTAATTTCACTCGGTTGCCCTTAATTGAGCAATGTAAACCCTAAAGAAAAGGACGACGACACCAAATAATCAGTAAACAAGTCAATCCGTCTCCGAATAATTAGCATTAAGATAGACAAAAACAATCATGTAATGCACAAAGATAACAAGATAAACAAAGGAATCTACCTTCCCAGGACGGTGGCGAGAGTGTTGAGATAGGTCTCGATCATCTGCTCCCGCGTGGGCGCCGGATCCTTCGGGAACTCCATCACGATGAGCCAGTGGTTGTAATCGCAGCCGGGGAGCATGATCGTCTCCCTCGGCTCGCTGCTGCCGCCCCTCCTCGACGAGTAATCGGAGTCGACGGCCATTGCGCGGATCGCCACAGGGGCGCCTCCGATGCCACGTGACCGGGAGACGACCCGGCGGCGGGAGGAGAAGGCGGGGCGAGGGAGCATCGAGGCGGGGAGCAGAAGGTTAGAGGTTGGTGAAGGCGCGGATGGTAGGGCTCTGAGGCGGATGAGAGAGGAAGAGGGGGAGCTCATCGTCGCCATCAGAAGCGATGAGCTCATTGGGCGAACAGTGGGGAAGATAAGGTTTCGGTTCGGTGTTTTATGTGGGGGGAAAGAGATTCTTTTTTGAGGGAAGGGGTTTAGGGTTTTGGGCCCATTGGGCTGCCAAGTGGGTTCAATGGAAAATTTTGATTTCTTTCCACAATTATTATGTTGATAATTATTAATTATAACATCATAAAATGTTAGCACAGTCATCTAAGGAGATAGAATGACACTTAAAAAATAATTTAATAAATATTTAAATATTCTTTATAAGTTATCGTTCATCGAATCCAAGCACGAGGGTTCGAGAGGAATTATATGATTTGGGTGGGCTCGATAATAATTATTCACTTTAGGTGAGTGGCAAGATTATCCTACGTTTTAATTGATTGATATATTTATCAAATTTAAATTTAATTAAATATATTTTAAAAAAATATTATTTTTCATCTCCTTTTAGTATGTTAAGCATGTCCTCGATTTTTATCATAAACGAGGGTGACAGTTCATTTGTTGTTAATTTACTAAGATATCATATGTTTCTACTCGAGATTGTATCATCACAACTCTATTTATGCCCAAATTAAAGTAAATGAGCAGCTAAATATGATAATTTCATTAATGTTTTTTTTATGCATATAAGCTATAATTTGGATATCTATTTTACTATTCAAACCTTTCATTGAATTAGGTACTTTAAATCAGGTTTAAGTGGATCAATATATCTCATAATCTAGTCTCATTTAACCATAGAATGATAATAAGTATAGTAACGAATGATCAATATATCTCATAATCTAGTCTCATTTAACCATAGAATGATCAATATATCTCATAATCTAGTCTCATTTAACCATAAGTATAGTTAATAAAATCTCAAGTTTCAAATCCTTTTAAATAATATAGATTCGAGTGATTAAAAATGATTGAAATTTTTTTAAGTAAATGATTGAGACGAGTTTTAGTAATGTTATGATGATCACATAAAGTTTTTAAACAATTAATTTTTTTTTTCTTACGTTAATATGATGCAGAGTTAAGACCTATCATTTATCAAATAATTTACTACTAAATTGGATATTTTTATTAGTTAGCATATTTGATATTATAATAATTAAATTCACGATTAACTCTTTAAAGGGGAGAACTCATCATGTAGTTGTAGCTCGCAATATGATTGTCCGGATGACATGATCGTCACTTTAGCCCAATAACAATGATAAATTCAGAATGAAATATTTCACCTGGGTCAAGCTGCACATGTGATTCAAAACCGAATCAAACTGACAAATGTATCATTGATCTTTCAATTATCATTTTAGCAGAGGACTCTATGTCATAAGAGCACCACACTATCGATCTATTCAATGAGCATTCGATCAATGGTGTACAACTTTCGACCTATAACACTTTCACCCAAGGAGGCCAATAGTCAATGTTCTTGATGCTCGACACCTCAACTTCTATCTAAACTCCCATATAATATTAACGGTTATTTAATGACTCGAGTCTCTCCACTCTAATAATGATGACAATCCACAAGCTGATTCCAATAGATGTCTTCCTAACCCTTGCCTAGCAAGCCTATACTCTTATCGGGATGATGTAGTCAGTCGTTTCTCTACTCTCATATCTAGCTTAGTTAGCGCCTATTGTTCTTCCTCAGCAGCCAGTGGTGTTTCAAAAGCCTAACAAGCCACCTCACTCGTCGTAGACCCAAGTTGTCGTAGAACCACCTTGGCTAGCTGATGCTTCGATCGAAGGGGTCCCGAGATCCTCGACCATCGAGTGTATCAAGTCATGTCGTCCATGGTGGACAGCTCCCAAATTTGAGGCCAATTAGTGGAGGATCCAAAGTGCACTATGTGGCACTCTAAACTCATGGCCATTGCTTTCTTATCGGGGTTGAACAACCAAATACTCAACTCCCCAAGATTTATCCCTACATAAAAGTAACTTAAAGTTAGAAGCCCATCTGTTGGATCAGTAGAAAATGTCTCGAGAAGTGAAGCATACCTTAAGGGGCAAGACTTAGAGCAGCTCCAATCAGTCAATTATCATCCATGGACTTGATAGTAGAGAAAAAGAAAATTGATGCCAATGAAGAAGAAGAATCAACCATTTCAACCATTTATTGAAAGTCGGGGCTCCCTTATAAAATTTCAAAAGGATAAATGATAAAAATATATTTTAATAATATTATAATGATCACATAGAGTTATTTTACAAAAACTAAATTTTTTTACCAATCAATATTTTTGATATTAAAATTATAAATTTACCGTTAACCCTAAATATCAAAAAAGCCAAAGAAAACAAAACAATTCATCCACCAAACCTCATGCGATATGATAAGGCCACTACAACAAAATGAGATGCATCACATCATCAACAATCGGAGAGGAGTAAATGGATGGTTAATGCAAGCAGATGGATGTACACAACGTGCCCCATACTTATTATGACCTAACTTTATTGCACTGTCGTTTCCATGCAACCTTAAATCGATGTCCGGTGTCCTTCTCCGGTGAAGTGAATCCATGTAAACCCACTTCCTCCCCGTCGCTATTTAACCCGAGACGGCGCCTTCCCGCCTGCCGATCCGATCAGGTCATCGGACGGTCGTCATTGTTAGATCGGCGCACGGAAGGCATCCACGATTTCATCGCCGTCGTCCAAATGGAGGTACGGTTTGTAGTCATTCTTTTTTCTCGATTTTATTTTATTATATTTTTGGATTATTTTTTATAGGATGGATGGACGGGTGGGTGGGTTTAGCACCGATAACGAGAGTGACATGTGAGCAACCTACCAATAATTCATGTCTTAATCAGTTTAATATGATTCGGATTTATGTGTATAGGGCTATTCACGAGGTACATTCGATATGAAAACGTTAAGTTATTAAGGTGTTACATGTACGAAGATCGAGGTTCAAATAGATTTTTCTACTCAATTCTTTTAACATCCAAATTATTAATATAAGTATATAAATATAGATGCGAGTGGTCAAAAGATGATTCTCATTTCATTGTGTTAAATACGAGCTTTTATATATGGTCATAAAAGGATTGAATATTTTATAGAATATTTTATAATAATATAGTCTCTAACTATCTCCTCTTGACTTTTTATCCTTATAGGCAATAAGGGAGAAGAGTCTATGACCGTCTGCCTTATACCATTGTTCACGTGGATAAACATATGTATGTTGACTTTCGTATTCTCCTTTTAATCTGAATACGGAGGTCGTGTGTTGGATGATGATATTTTCTATATCACCAAATAATTAATCATTTCATTAATTAAATTATTATTTTAATTTGATAATTACACAATCTTACTGTAAAAAGTCATCGAGATGTGTCATTTAATCATGAACAATACTCACTTATATATTGTATTTCTCGAATATTTTGATTTAATCAATTTAAGCATAAGATGACTTAGTTTCTACATCACACTTACATCTAGATCGAATGAATCTCTAATGTGTCGGAGAATCTGAAGTATAAAGTGAGGAAGGGCAAGAGATACCGTCTTCATTTATTTTTTCATTAAAACAGATTAAATATGATATAATTAGATCAGATCGGGGTAGTGCAATGTGTATTCGGAGTGTAATTATCATCTATAATGTCTGGTCTACGTGGGAGATGGACAATAAATGATAATATAAATATGAGTTGATGATGAAACATAAGTGCACACGATATTAACTCAAAAGCAATTTATGTTCATTACCTGACACATGCGTAAGTTGGTGAGACCGTTGTGTGTAGCTTTTAATGCAATCCAACCACTACGGTGAATTAATGTGCATCTATTTGGATATCACCGGTGGCCTGAATGCATGCATCAATTTGTATTTTTAGTTATAGTGTTTATATATATATATATATATATAGGATAAAAATAATATAATTGACATATAAAAATAATTTTTTTTACATGTTATTGATCATAAAAAATAAAAACATCTATTTGAAGTAGCATTATTTTATTTTTTTAATTTGGTGTTATTTTTTCCTCTAATATCTTGAATCTCTTGTTGTCTCTCCACATCCGTGAGACTCTTCATCTTTGGTTTTTTTTTATTAGATGAGAGAAGAAAAAAAAAAAAGGTGAGACAAAGATGACAAGCCTTGTGACGAGAGACATTAAGGAAAAAAAATTAAATAAAAAAAATAAAATTGAGAATAGCAAAGGAAAAAAAAAGAGATTTTTTCGAGGAAAGCATGCTATTTTTATTGCTTTGAGATAAACAATATGTTAAAAAAACTTAATTTTTATGTCAAATATATTTTTTAATCATATATATAACACTATACCTAAAAAATATTGATAAAAAATACAACTAATAACCGTTTGTGATTTTTTGAATATATATTTTTATTAATTTGAGAATAAAATTATTTAAAGAAAACATATCAGTTATACTATTATTGAATATATTTATAGTATTTTTGATGCATCTATAAAAACATCGTAAACCTATATATATATATATATATATATATATATATATATATATATATATATATATATATATATATATATATATATATAT